GAGTTACGGTAAAAGAAGGGTGATAATCAAAGTGAACTGTTTAGTGTGGGTGGACATAGCTGTGTGCTGTATTTCTGTAACTGAGCCAACGATCTGCAGGCGTGCTGAGGTCTGTGAAGACAGGAGATGCAGCTTCATTTTTGCTGAGTATAGATCTTACCTGTTGGGGAATTAATACCCTAACAGCTTACCTCAGTGTCTGGGGAGCCATAACAGCTATGACACGTTTTGATGGTTTTCAGGCTCCCACATGCCACGGAACATGCACCAAATTCCTACTGTGGATTGGGGGTGGGGAGGGGAAGATGATTCACATCTTCCTAGTTGTCTCTGATGCTTGGTAGTTAAAGTTAGTCTTTAATGAGACAAGATAAATGTAGTGGATGTAATTGTGGGTTTTTTTTCTCTTTGGAAATACAATCTCAACTAATGTTACACCCAAAAATGAATGATAAGAAGCATATTCTCTGTGGCGATGTGTAGTACAACTTGGGCAGCAGCCTTGGCCGCAGCAGGAAGCACCTGGGTACAAGAACTCCTCTAAGTTACTGAAAAATGTATTGCAAACTACTGTGCTTGAGAACCATACTTCTTACATTGCAATGAAGTTTCTCAAAAGGAGGTGGAGGAAAAGCTACAAAAAATAGCGTATCTTAGGAAAACAGAATATAAATATCTTCCAACATCTCTGTCGAAAACAGCTGAGTATCTGGCTTGTGTTTTTGTTGTCACTTCTACCTTTCCTTAATTGCTATGAATTAAACTACCTTTACTTTGTACTGAAATATATGGATGAATTCTCATGGATAGTAACCACCTTGATGGGAGGGTAGCATCTTGATACTGATGTGGTTGCCGGAACATACCTGATAATGTCTTCGCAGCATGCTGGAACCTAATCTTTATCTAGACTGCTGCGGTAGCTGCAAACTGCCTTGTCCTTGCTAGAATTTTGCCTTGTGCTAATTAGGTCAGGCTGAGTATGTTTTTTCTTCCCTGGGTAAGATAAAGTCTGAATGTGTCAGTCACTAGAAGGAGCATTGGGTGCTAGGTGGGACTTGAGGTGACCAATGTATTATTGGATTAAGGACATAACTCTCAAGATTTGTGTTCTCTGTAGGAAAAAGGCCTGTCCCCTAGTAACTAGCGTTTTTAGGAGGGTTTAGGAGCAGGGTTGTCTCTTGCATGTTCTAATTTCTGCTTTGTTGCACTTGTCCCTTTGATTGGATTTTTGATTAACTAGTCTGGTGCCCTCTTTGAGGGTCGCTAGTGACGCGTGAAATGTTGCACGGGTCAGTCAGCATGGAAATAGGCTCTTTATAAAGTGAGGGTCAGTGCCATGGAGATACCTGCTGGAACTGATGCTTTTGTCCTGCATTTTTGGCCACTGCGGAACAATTTTGTCCTAGTGAGAATCTGACAAAACAAATTCTTCTCTTCTGTACATCAGTGGGCTTGTGGTCAGTTTGATCTGTGGTGAAACATGGGGAGAGAAAGGATGTTTTTGCCAGAAGAGAACTGAAAGTTAAAGGGAAAGCTACTTGCATTAAGTTTGAACTTTTAATGTGAAGGCTGCTTTTCTGAGTTCCACTAGAAAGCAAGGTAGTGCCTTCCTACCCTTATATTTTAGCTTGTCCTAATAGGAAGCACTTTGTTAATCAAGACAAACATGCCCTCCTCCTCTGATGAATTGTGCCCACAATGAAGGGAAGAAAAGGCATTGTATCTGAAATCACCTCCCAAACTGGGAGTAGCGAAGGGAGGGAAGGAGAGCAGAAAGTGGGGAGAGAACTGTCAAGAGTATTCAGAGTTGAAAATTGTACTCTTTTAGTGCTCTTTCTCTAAGAGGAAGCCTCTCAGACTTGCACTTTTCCCAGAAATCACTCCCCGTTTTGCTAGCTTCGTAAGATGATTCACTCCTTTGTCTTCTGCTTCCAAGCTGCTTTTGGGGAGGCATGCCGTGTTCAGAGCGCTGCGAAGATTAACCGTGCTGTGCTGTTTCTGTAGCCTGTGTCCTAAGAGAGTCTCCAAAACTCTGTCCAAATGTCACAGTGTCACATCCCCAACTAATAAAGTCACTTCTGGACAGCAGCGGGGAAGTAACAAGTGCAGAGCAGCGATATGCAAGAGCTTGGGACCGGATAAGGGTGAAATGTGTGGTTGGAAGTGACAGATGTAGAGAAGTGATTCGCTGGAGTATGTGCTTTTGGTGGTTCATCGCAGGGGAGGAAGCAGCCCTTCCCTCCCCTGTTTTTAGACCAAGGAGGTATTGACGCTGTATTTTCTGTAGCCTGTGAACATAAGGGCTATTTTGAGGAAGTTTATCTCTGCTTTTTTAATACCTTTTTTCCAACAATCACTGTAATTAATGAAACTTCTGCTGCAGTATGTGTACTATGTTATTTCTTGAGAAACAATATAGCTCTGCTTATGCTTGTGTGACAAAAATGCTATATTACAAATAGGTGCACTGCAGTGCATCTGTGTTCTCCAGACGGATGTACGTGCGTGCTGTAATGGGAGAGAAGTTGAAAGCGATCTAACTACGTTTGCTTGCTCTTTGGGGATATCAGTGGAAAGAGTGCAGAAGTGGATGTGGTTTTCACTGGATGGGAAGGGAGGCTGTAAAAGCATCTGCAAGAGCCTGAATGTTGCTGCAACTCGGCAGTCCTGGCTCGGGGAGGCCTTTGGGGAGCCCCTGGCATTAAAAACCTGTGTGGGGGCTGCTGTTCATTTCCCAAATGATGGAGCAGGCCTCCCACAGAGGCTTCGAGCCTGCAGTGCCTTCGTGCGACTCAAGAAGCCACAGCCACCTCCAGAGTTGCAGTGTGAGTTTTGGCTGGTGTTTTTTAAATGAATGTGGTATCTCGGTCCCACTCTGAGAGTTTTTGGAGGACCTCAGAAACAAAGCACCCCCTCACCACTCCCTAGATGTGTGATGATTATTTCTGGAGACAAACGGTGACAAGGAGGATAACTATTCCCTTCCCCCTACCTTTGGGTTGGGAAGCTCAGGCTCGTCTGATGAGCTCACTGATTCCATTGCCATGAGCTAGTAAAACTGTTGCTCTTAATCTTGCCCTGCAATCCCAGGCGACCAACATCCCGCTTCCCAGGGGAGCGGCTCCCAAGCCAGGCAGAGGCACGCAGCGGCCATTGATGGGAAAAGTAATTTACATGTGCAATTTATTATTGTTTGCACAGTTGATATAGAACAGTTGTTTGCAAAAACTGATGCCTTGTAAAGGAAACTTGGACCATGGACTTTTGTTTGGTTCAGAGGATCTGTCTGATGCTGCATGTGCAAATCATTTATAAAGTGATCTGCAAAAGGCTGCTTTGTTGCACGCGTTTGTTTCACCTCACTTGTTTTTATAAGGTCCTTAAGAGCTCTCTAAGAACATAACGAGTGGTACTGGCCTTGCGTCAGAAGTTTGGCTGTGATGTGCAGAGCGAGGGTGTAATGCTGAGCTCGGCTGGGCTGGCTTCGGGCTGCCGTGCCATTAGGAAGCGCAGGAACTGCTGGAGCCCTTGGGAGCTCGTCTAGAGATGCTTGCATGGTCGAACTGGTGCAGTTCTGCAGCTTTGCAGCAGAAGACACCTGGTTTTGACACTGTCTTTCTGCGTGTCCTTGAACAAGTTCTTTCTCTGCTGACCTGCTTTGTTA